CCCGCCCCCCCCCAAAACCAAATAAGCACACATATCCTGTTACTTCAGATGCACGTAGAAATGTGAAAAACAACAGTAGAAAAATAGAAAAATACAGGTGTCATGTGTAACTTGTGAACTGGATACGTCACCATGAGCATCCCTCGAAACGTGCAGCAGGGAAGGGCAGCTCACCCGATGAGGCGGGCGGCACAAAGAAAGGCATCTCGTGGTAGTTCAGTGCAATTGAGAATGTCTCCTCGGCAGAGAGCCGGTCTCACGGCTCATGACCCGTCGGAGCAGGTACAGAGGACGAACGCAGAGAGTAGCGGCGTCTAAGTCCAGATTCTTTAACTAACTGTAACTTGAATTTATTTTGGCAAACTGGCAAGATAACAAAACTTGTGTCAGTGTCCAATCAATTCCGGACCTAACTCAGTTAGCCAGAAAAATACCTTTAGCATTCCATTTTGATCCTGCAATCCCACTGTTACAAGAGCAGGCGTGGTAGCTTGGATTGAAGGCTTATTGTTGACTCCACCAACTTGTGATTTCCCTGAATTAACAAATAAATTCAATAACAAATAAAATGTCCTCCCATTTGACAAGGGGATGGCAGCTAGAGAGGGCGTAGCTCTAATGGGTAGGGTGTGAAAAGTCAGAGAAATTGGGCCTGTTATTACAAAATTAAATCAACAGGGCGCAAAAGAGGTGTTATCCTAATTTGGCTGCAAAAGTGGAAATACACTCTTAGCTTACACTAAATATTGGGTGGTGTTTTGTCAAGGTGAAGTATGTGTATTTGTGTCATCTGTCCATGTGTCCATTCGGGTGTATTTCAAGAAAGAACATGTCCTCTATGATCCTTCTACAGGCTTAATCATAAACGATTTGCTGCTTTGTCTGCCTCTTTAGCTTGAGCCAGAGGTCACCTCAATTCTAACAGCTGCTGTCTAATATCACTAATATCTACCTTTCAAAAGAGTACCTCTTTGTTGGAGATTTATGTATTGAGCTAACTGGGTGCAAGAGAACCCTTTGCAGACATTAGGAATGCTCATTAGGTTCCCTATGTACATGAAACATTATTCCATTTTCATTCATATATCACCATCATCTTATCTGAGCTCATATCTTTTTTTTTCCTTCACCCTTCACTTGCTGTGTGTGTTTAATCTTTACCCAAATACATACTTATGCCATATAATTATAGCACTTACTGTCATATATCTCATTAATGTTGTAGAGCAGTAAAATGACAAAGGTTGACATATTTTCGCTGTCACATGCTGTCTGTACGGGTAGCACTAAGGTTTGTACGTGTATAAAGTCACATCACTACATAAATAGGAATTCTGGCTTACATAATGTTGTTTCAAAGAGCACAAACAAGCCAATATTTACTACTTTGTCATACACATGCTGTTAAGATAAACAAAGCCATTAAAAGAGGTACTATAATGGTTTAGGGTGAATTTCATTTTAAATAAACCTTTTAATACAGGGAGCACCCATGACAGATTTTGCAGAATGCTATGCCAGAGATGAAAGGGTGACTTTAATTACTTGCTCCTGAGAGATTTAAAAGACAAGTTTACATTTAGTGAACCTATTCTTTAATTAATCTATCACTCCCATCTATCTATTTTTGAGTGCTGTGTTAACACTTACCTTTCTACCCATTCCAGCAATCCTCAGTGTGTGGCCCTGATTGGTGCAAAGGTCAACAATAACAGAAAATACTCAGTTATCACTAAATTTAAGTACCAGACCAACCTCTGGCATAACATTCAATACCTGCATTGTCCAGTAATGTTCTCCGATTAAGAAAAGGAAGTGTGAGTTACACACGTCAGAACTCCATTAAGATCTCTATACGATTTCCTAGTTAAGGTTTGCAACTTCCAGGATCCCTGCTCACTGAACTTAACCAAGGTGGTGAAGCGGCAGGTGTTTTTTTTAACTGCAAGGCTGGTTATTCAGAATTTGAAATCCTCTAGCAGGTATATACACTGCTCAAATCATAACATTTGCTGCCAAAACAGCCCTGACCTGTTGATGCATGGGCTCCACTAGACCTCTAAAGGTATACTATTGTATCTGGCACCAAGGCGTCAGTTGCAGATCTTTTAAGTCCTGTAAGTTGCAAAGTGGAGCCTAGTGGAAACTTGTTTTTCAGCACATCCCACAGATGCTCGATTGGATGGAGAATCTGGAGGCCAAGTCAACACCTCAAACCCGTTGTTGTGTTGCTCAAATCTTTGTTGGAACTATTTTTGCAGTGCGGAAGGGCACATTATCCCGCTGTAAGAGGCCAATGTCATCAGGGACTAAAGTTTCATTGAAGGGGTATACTGTACTTGGTCAGCAACAATGTTTAGGTAGGTGGTAAGTGTAAAGTAACATCCACATGGAGCTCAGTCCATCTTTTATCAAGTCTTGATAAAAAAAGACTTGGCTCCATTGAAGGGTGTACAATAAAATGCTGATGCTTTCATGTAACTCCACTGCAAGGCTCACCACTGCGTCAATATTTACTTTGGATAGTGTTTGAATATTTTTGTTGATCAGCATCCTTAAAAATAAAGTGCAGCGACTACCCTTGGGACTGTATGTGTGTGTGTACATTCCGTGCCTGATGAAGGGGACCCTGTATGGCCCCGAAAGCGCTTGCATTTGAATTTCAATATATTGACTTTTGCTGATTACACAAAGATTATGGTGTGCTGGTGACATCCATTGAAAACTACATGGATATCACAGCGCCATCCGTGGTCACTACGACCACCCACCTGCATCCTGCAGATTATCAATTCCGGTAAGGAGTGCAGCAATACATCTTCTGTTGTGTGTGTACACACTCGCACATATATAAATAACTATCAATCACATCGCTATCTCATGTTTAACCTCAGTGCAAAATTAAAAATAGAAACACATACTGAATTTTCATCTTCCTCTTCCAGTTCCCTCTGCTGTTCCTCATGCCTTTTCGCCTTGATTTCCATAGCTTCAGTGATGAGGTCTCTCAGAATCGACACAGGTTTCGCATTTTTTATGAACGTGTGCTGGAGATTAAAAGAAAGAGAATCTTTGAAGTCATGCGTAAACAAAACACAAACGAGCCAGGTGAGGTGAAATCGCTTGAGTTAAAGTGATATTAAAGTCAAAAGGTTTTAATCCATTTCAAATGCTTTTCCCCTGCAGGTGCCTATGGAGCCACCCTTGGATGTGCTAGTAAGCTGTGGGTCTCCACAAACACACAGATGCAGCAAGACGAACCACTACCCCACTCGCCTGCGCCACATTTCCCCATCTCCCAAGCTAGTAAAAAAGAAAAAAAAAATACTGGACAATTTATATTTGTTTGATCTGGATTGATTGTTGGAAAAAAGTTGACAGTTTAACCCCTTCATGACTGAGGCCTTTTTTTAATTTTTTTGTACCCATGTTATATTCCACATTTTAGGCCTGAAAATTACTTAAAACCCACTTTAGGGATCACACAGATATTAAGTGAACATTGTCCTATCCTAGTGAAACCAGAAGCATGAAGTAGTGTTAGTTGGCCCCACTGGCTGTCAAAATACCTGAACAATCTGATTGAATGCAGGCATTGTTCAGGTGTTTTGGGTGCCAGCAAGGCCAACTAGCAAGATACTGAAGCTTGGCCCAGTGTGAGATTCCTCCAACCACACAGTTTAGCATAGATGGAGGAATCTGTTGCACTTTTTCCATCTGACCATAGAAAGTCTGCAGATAATCTACACGTGATTTAGAGCAGCTGTGATAGCCCCTCCCTTAAATCATAGACATTGCGACTTTCCTAAGAGGGGTGGGCAACACTGCAAACAATGCCATCAATTCCATAAGAACCAACAAGGGAACCAAATCCTGAACTCAAAGAGCAGCCTGAAGCACCTCACAGCCAAAGCTGGTGTCAGCATAGGCCTGAACATCCACCTGGTAAAACTTCACAAATGTATTAACAGAAGACCATGTAGCAGAAATGTGGCTGAAAGGTATACTTGCACTGCCCACGGAACATCCAAATGGTGCAGGGAAATCTCCATGGGATGCTTCAGAGCAGGGCAAAGAGAACGTAGGACAGTGTCCTGATTAAGGTGGAAGTAGATTTAACCAAAAAACAGCTCTCAATAGAGAAAAGTCATCCTTCACCTAAAGACATGAAGGACACCTAAGGACACAGTTTTCCCGTGTCCAATCACCAGAAGGTGGCTGCATATAACCCATTGTCTATGATTAAAGGAGCCTGTGTTCTGTACTGTACAATTAAGAAGGATGGTTCACATGTAAATCGACACGGTCAGTCACCTAGAATTTCCAGATGATCGGTCCCTGCAATTAAAGACCTATTATACTCACCTCTCAGTCAGCCCTCATCTCTCATTTTCCCTCTGTTCCAGCACTGCAGTCTCCATCAGAACCTCCAGCACTCAACATTTCCAGGAGTGTTAGATGCCTGTGTCCTCCAGTGCATGCCTGTTTTCCATTTTCCAAACCTATGTCACTGTGGTGCCCTGTAATGGTGAAGGTATTGGAGGATAGAACACCAGTCCACAGCAGGAGTCAGGCATCCAACATTTCCAGACGTTTTGAATGCTGCAGAGTCTGATGGGAGGTGCAGCAATAAAACATGGGGATGGTATGAGATAGGGGCCACTGGAGAGGCAACTATAAACTCTCCTGTATTACAGGGTATTTCCTTTAGAATTTTTTAGGTGATGGACAGAATTGCTTTATGTCTGATTAAACACTACCTAAATAACATAACTTAGAATGCTTTACACACTATTCAGAATAAGCTGTTCAAGGAAAAAGCACAGTTTGACTAATAAAATAAGGAGTAATGAAACTGTAATTTCACAGCAATGGCAATAATATATTTATTACATGTGGCACATGTATGTCACTGGTGCCATTTTAAAAATTTGTGCTATTAAAAGATTATTATACAAGATAACATTACAGCTTAGAAGCTGCATTTAGGTAGCTCTTGCTGCTGTTTCCCTCGTGATGCGTTTCATGACTGTAAGAACAGTTAATCTGAAACCTGAACCATGAAAAATAAAAAAGGAAAAAAAAAACAAAACGATAATATCTTCTGTAAACAAGGAAAGAGCTTAATTTAAGTCATTCCCAAAATATCTCTAAACCCAATTACAATGCAATTAGGTGGGTTTAAATGCCATGTGGACATGCACATGTGTAACTCTACACTGTATACTTACACCAAGGAGAAATGTACATTAAATGTAAACCCTAGAGCTCCCAGTTGTATTAAAGTTTTACCACTTCAAAGAAGCCCGTAGTTTGCCCAAGGCTGGTGCACTTTAGAAGTTCATAAACTGAATGTCTGTGTAGTGCTCGGAAAGGTTAGGCTGCCTACCTATTAATCCTGTAATAAAAAAATAAAAAAAAGTGTGTTTTATTGAGTAAATTACACACTCAATAAAATAATTGTGAGAGTTGTGAATAATAGGCATGATTGCTTATTACTCATTAGCCTTTGATCTTTAGAGGGCGCAGATTCTGTCCTGTGTTCAGGCAAATATTGAATATGTAGAGTTCATCTCTGAATGGTGTCATAAGAAAACACTGGATTTCATTTAAACAGGTCCCATAGCTTTGTACACATAACGGAAGGGAATATGAACACTTGCGCCTATTTAATAAGGCAAGAAAAGCGCAAACTAAAGTGCACAGAGCGACAACAATTCCCGTTATCTGACATCAGTGAAACAAAAGTCAGTGCACATTAGGATTGTTCTTTGCACTACCTATTATATTATTCCTGGCTATCTTTCCCTCAATGCTGAACGTTTTAAATAAACACAGAGAAGCATGAATGTAAACCACCATTGGAGGTCAGTTTAATGTGCAATTTACATTTTTCACTATGGTGTGCTTTGAAGGACACGCTGTTGTCAAAACTTGATCTGGCTGGCTGGATGGGGAATCCACCTCGATAGGCTATTGTATTACCATAACAGTGACTTTAGCTGATTGGCTTTAGTCACTGTTCACCTGAGAATTTTCAGACCGGCTTCAGTGACAAAAGTCAAATGGAAAAAATTACTTTTGTCGAATTGGTGGGTTACCAAGGGGGCCACACATTGTTCAAATTTGGGCCAAGTCCTATGATTTGGCTAAAATTCGAGTAGTGTATGGCCAGCTTAAGAGCCAGCATTGCCGTTTCCTGCAGCTTCCAGTCTTGGCACTCTACTCAGAATTGTTTGAATTGCAGCAATCAGCCCCATACACTTCTATTGCACCAACTACTGTGATTCAAAGTGTGCCTATGGACTGGGAGCAACACAGATGACAAGCATGTTTTGACCGCAGGATATCCTGAGAAGAATGGAGGCAGGTGTAAAACAGCCCTTTGCACTACAAGGCAGTTGTGCAAATCCTTTTCAGTGTACATGTGCATAAAAGTGCATGTCTGGGTAAAATAAAATAAAAACGGGTACTCTATAATACATGCAGATCTCTTTACAAATGCTGCAAGAACAGAAAAATACATATTACTCAATGCGTTCCCCTTTTGAAGAAGGTCCTATGGTCCAGAAGGAAAAACTGGGCAGGGCTGACAACACTGCTTGTGATTTCAGAGCAGCATAGGCACTGTGCTGGGAGCTCAAAAAGGAAGTTAGGACTATGCCGGATTTCTGACAAACCCTCAGGTACACTGGGTGACTAAATAATTTTCCCTCTAGTAGCAATAACACTCTGATGCATTCATTTTCCTCCTATTATGGCCTGTGTACGTGCCTAACCGTATGTAACCAAATGTATGTTGTTTGGTGGCAGGGACAAATGTTAAAGAAGACCTAAACACTTTACTAGTTTGACCGTTTTGAAATGACCCCTCCCCACTCTATATCTATTCAAACTCTGAAAGCTCACAAATACTCGTTCAGACAGACTACAGTCACCACTGCCCTCCGAAAAGCGATCTGCGGTGGATCGTTTTTCAGAGGGCAGTGGAGCAGAGGCTGCCTGGCGTTCAGGTGGTGATACTGCCACCTCCTGAATGCAAGGTTTTTTAAAATATTTTTTTTAATCCCAATGGGATTTTCAATTAAAATACCACACAGCAACAGTGTATCCGCATGGCTGCGGCACGGTCTCATTGATTCGAACTGTCACGTTTGACAAGCACCGCCTATCAAATGCAACCTGGTAAGGCGGTGCATTTTTTTTTGCACCATGGTCATGATGTTTTCCTTACGTATACAGCACTGTGCGGCCCCAGTGCTACCACTGCAGCGTGTAGCTGGGGGCAGTAAAACTGCACATCAACCATGCCACCCATTTGAATGAGGCCTTACCTAATGGCCCCAGAATCACACAGCAGGGGACATGTAGTTGGCGTCAAAGGCTGGTTTGTATTTAAAGGGTGGGATATGTGTTCTTTTCATTAATGCACTAAAATTTTCCATTAGTATGTCAGTGGTTCACAGGAGAGAGTTTGGAGCCCCCATGATGAACTAGAACATCAGCATAGAATTGTAATCCATAACGGGAGCAAGCTTGGAGCGGTGACTACTTTATAACACACACAGGGACCATTGGGAACAAAAGTAGCCACCCTCCAGAAGGAAGGACAGTGTCAGTACCAATTCAGAGATGATTTGAGGATCTACAGCCGAGTGATACACAAATATGGTACATTGTTGATATTTAAGGTACTTGAATAGGTTTTTAGGCTTTAAATCCTGAGTTAAGTGTCACTTTAAAAACTTTCAGGTGTTAGATAAGTGATAGAAAAGGGGAGGGAGGCTGTAAAATAGATTAGATGAACCGAGTGTTTAAATCCACATTAATGTGCTATGTACTGCTACAAATATGTAACAGGTTGTAAATTTGCTTCAGCATAAAAACACATAATCTTTGTAGGCTGACTCTGCTGTGATTGCACAAAATATGTCCCAGTATGTAATTTATATCTTTAAGGCTGGCTTCGCACCTTTGTATTGCAGTAAAGCACAGTTAAACAGGCGTTATCCCAATAAGCTGTAACGCATGATGGGCGGTGCAGTGT